GAGCTCTACCAACTATTCAAATATTGTCATGATTGTGGAATTCCTATTGGTAGCACAACTAAGAAATTCCAAGGAAGTATGATTACAATTACCACGAACTGTATTAATGGGCATTTTTTTTCCTGGAAATCAAAGCCTCAATTAAAGCGACAGCAGCAGGAAACTTGTTAATTCCAGCAGCTCTTCTGTGCAGTGGAAACACATACCAACACATGGCAGATTTGGCTAGGCATCTTAATCTTCAATTTTTTAGCTCATCTCACTATTATACAGAAAACAATTCTTTTCCCTGTTGTTCAACAAGCCTAGGTAAAAAGCTAGTGTGCAATAATGAACCAAATAAAAGAAAGTTGGCGTATGGATTAATGTGGAGATGGAAAGTGTGACAGTCTTGGGCATTCAGCAAAATATGAGACATACACGTTGATGGATGAAAATACAAAACTTGATAGTTGAATTTAATATTGTGTAAGTGACAGAAGTAACATCATCAATTGCAATGGAATATGAAGGCTGTAGAAGAACATTAAATTCGATTATCAAGTAAAATATTCCCATTCGGGGTCTGACAACAGATTGTCACACAACTGTAACAGCAAAGATTAGAACAAATTATTTTAGCATTATTCACCAGTATCATGTATGGCATCTGAATAAATGGGTAACGAAGAAACTGACAAAAAAAAGGCAAGAAGGAAGGGCTGTGAAAAACTAACTCCATGGATCCGGAGTGTTTCAAACCATACGCGGTATTGTGCTTCAACATGCAACCAAAATGTTGATATTCTCCGAGAAAATTAGATGTCTTTATTGCATCACATCACAGGCAATCATCAATGGAAAGCATCAAAAGAGTGTAAATTAATAAAGAGGTGTAATCATCCCAGAGTTAGTTTCAGATATCAGAAAGAGATTACATGGCTTAAAAGTGGTTCTCCTGCATAGGAGAAAGTTATAACAGACGTGAGCATTTTTCGTATAATAGGAATCGTGGCTCGAACACAATTGGCCATCCTTGACCACAATACAAATGTTGGCAGAAAGCAAGCAGAAATTAAGGGACCCATTCAAGGAAAGAAGCGATTAAAGATTGCTTGCAGCAAACAGACAAAGTATTGGGTGGCAGAGGAAATTAAAGAGCCGAAGTCTTACGATTATGTTGAAGGAATGATGCAGGATGTCATATTATGCAAAGAAGGAAAGAAGTTTAAACACAAGCCATAGAAGCAAACAAAATGCATAACACCAACTCCAGAACCAGCAAAGCATGATTTAATGAATAAAGGCTAATTTATAGAAAAAAGTGATTTATAAGTGAAAGTTTTATGTTATGGAGTTTTGCTAATGTAAATTAAGATGTCAAATACAGAAATACCTCACATTCATGACACTAATGCCACGGAATTATTCATCAAGAAAATGAAATCCGACAAATTGAAAGTCTTCTTCATTGCCTGGAGGTGGAAAGTGTGCTCTAATGCAACACACAGCAAATGATGGAAGAAAAATTCTAATCTCTTTCCCAAATATTCCCCTACACCATCTTAAAAGCTGACGGTAGGCGATGTGACTATTAATTTTTTGCTCTGGACCTTCGCATGCTCGGCTTCCATATTGTTGTCTTCAACCAAACCAAGCAGCTTGTAAAGCCCATCTATCTAAGATACCAAATGGAACCCTGGATTATTCGTTATACATGTGAACAGTCGAGCTGGTTTTGTGACTTCCATGACTTCTTGATTTTTATTAGAAACTTCTTCAATTTTATGGCAACATGCACCTCATTCTACCTTCCTATCCATTATATGGCAATGTTCACTAGAGCACCTATTGGAAAAACAAAACCTTCCGACCAAAAAATAATCTATTATTATTAAGTAGAAATTTTATGTAATCTTACCAGTTACGATTGCTTAAACGTTCAGACGGATCTTAATCCTCAGTCGACATATTCTCGTCGCCTTCAATTTCTGTCTCCGTCGAATCACTAGCCTCGCTATCTGCAACACGTATAGGTTTGGACTGATAGCCCAAGACTTTACCCCCTTCTGCTATAAATCTATGAAATCCCCCTAAACGTTGACCCGAAGAGCTAGAATTGTCTTATCTGATTTATCGTCGCTGGAAGAGCTTGAAACTTCGACATTCATAATGAGCAGCATTAATGTTTACAAGGAATTTATAAAAGACATCATAAAAGAAGCACGCAATGTCGTCACCATAGATATAGTAGGTCTAGATTGCTGACGAGCCGCCATATTGCGTGACATTCATGATAAATCCAAGGTAGCGCGGGAACTGGCCAAAAAAAATAGAGTTACTCTAGGGCAATTGATGTTTTTTGCAATTTACTACTTCTCATTGCTTTTAAACTCTCCCGATTAAGTTTTATTGGAAACAAATCGTTATTGCAAGTGTTTTGAAGCCATATTAGACAGCTATTATTAAAATACGGGCGAAAATATCACTTTCGTAATATTGTGTAAATTGGTCGTTTGGTTGTCTCGAGTCGTTCGTCCACTAAAACAAACAGATTTTGTCAGCTTTAGCTCCCATACTGGTTTTTTGCGCATTAAAATATATCATATTGACAATTTATAGGAAGATTGGAAAATCAATCTGAACCTTTATGGCAAAAAAGCAATTTATTTACGAAGATACTCCAACTGTACTCGTACTGATATGTGAGATTCATCCACAGTTTAGCAAGGCCATTCGACTTTGAATGAATGGAGAGAGGAGCAAGGAGATACATAACACTGCAGCACTATTGTTTATTGACAAGATCTTAGAGAAGTTGTTAATGTTGGGAAACGTAACTGAAGGAAACTTGCCTCATCTCACGTAATTGTATCCAGGAGCATTGGCTAGACTGATGAGATTTTACAGCTAAGTTGTTATACGAAAGAGAAGGAAACATATGTTCAGAAGCTTGTTATATTACTGGTTATTTCAAAATCTGACATAGTAACATTCAAATGCGCAACTCAAGATACTGTTACAATACAATTTTTGGAGAGAGTTATAAAGCTCTGTATAAAGTACTAATTTTTGTACCAGAGCTAAGGTGTTTATTGAATTTATATAATATCTTATGAAATATTTGATGTTGATATTATGGGTGGCATAGCCAGACTGAATATTTTATTGTTGCTATGTCAATTTCAGTGCATCATTGTTCATTTCATTAAAAATCTCTTATTTGTACAGTCAGTGAACACAGCAACATTAGGATAGCAAGACCAAATAAAAATGCTAGCTATGGCCCAGATTATTATAAGACATAGCTGTGAATAAAATATATGTGACTTATATGCTCAATATACTTTGTTATGGTATATGTTTTTATATATCAAGGATGGTGTTGATATAGCTACAACACCATCCTTGACACCAGTTGTTTCTAAACTGAGGAGGTTATCCTAATTAAATAAATCCAATTATTATTATTATCATGTTACTAGTATTTGTTTTTTTTCTACAATGCCAATACAATTTTATAACTAAAAATGCCTAATTTGCATCATATTGTTAACATACAACTAATGACTTGTGAGACAAAAACTGTATAATACTGCTCAGTTGGTTCATTTTATGACACCTATGTACAAAGATAAGTAAAGAAGATAAAAACTTACGGATATTTCACCATTCAATGCATGAAATTGTATAAAGAAAATTGCCATATAGTTACAGTTTTCAGTTACATATGTGCACAGTAAAATATTTGTACACCAGTTCTGCAAACTCTAATCCGAAAGAATAGTTTGTAAAGGAGCGCCATCTAAGCGACAAAATCTGACAAAACTCATCCTTTTTGGAAACGATTAAGACTGTGTCTGTTGAGTGCCAACATATTTAAAGAATGAAAGAACGAATAGCATCTTGAAGTGAAATTTATGTAAAATATATGAAGATTAATTTTCCCATCTTTTTGTATGTATTCAATATGATGTATTTCAACGTGGACGAAGCAGTATGGGCGCTAAAGCAGACGAAATCTATTTATTTGGGTAGACAAACGCCTCAAGACAACCATAAGACCAATTTATACAACACTTCGCAAGCGATATTTTCGCCTGCATTCCAATAATAGTTGCCCAATATGGCTTCAAAACATAATTTATAACGATTTGCTTCCTATAAAACTTGATTGGAGGAGTTTGAAAACACTGAAACGAAGTAAACTGCAAAAACAACAATTGCCTAATAGTGGCCGTAAATTTTTTGCCCGGTTCCCACGCCATCTTGGATTTATCATGAATGTCACGCTGCAAGTCTTAAAGTGGTACTATGACGAAAATTTTGCCTCTCGTTTTTTTTTCATAGATTGATAGTGCATGTAAAAAAATGTCTTCTGGCGAAATTTTAGCGCAATGTATTTCATGCTGCTCGAGTTACGTAACGATAAAACTTGAATTTCAAGAGCCGCCATTAAAATGCGCCATATTTGAATTGTCATGTAGGAAGGTGCTTGTGACGTCATGGTCTTAACTCGCGGCTGTTTACAATATAACACTATATACAAATAGAGATTTAAAAGGTTGTATAACTCAATTTTTTTAACATGCCTTCAACACGATGTGTCGTGCAAGATTGCAGTAATAAGTCTGATAGAAGTACAGGCATTTCATTACATAAAAGCCCAAACGACGAGTCTTTGAGAAGAATTTGGGTTAAATTTGTTCAGACGAAGCGCGGAAATTTTAATCCGAGTTCGCGCGAAATTCTATTTATGATTTGTTCGAATCACGCCTCGGAAGATTGTTTTGAGCGTTTATTCCATTTGGGTGGTATGACTAGACGGCTCAAACCTGGTGCCGTACCTACTATTTGGAAGAAATCACAAACACCAACAACGTCAAGAGAGCGACGCTAGAACAAGTTTCAACTCTTATATACTTACATATATTTCAGATGGTAAATTTACACAATTTGAGAGAAGAAATAATACATCTAGGCAAACTTCCAATATATAATATTTAACAATATATAACATTTATACTAAGGTTTTAAAGGAAATACAAAATAAAGTGTCTGTATCCAGTATGAACAAAGAAGAATTAAACCCAACTGGCTTTAAACCTAACGAAGCTGCTTGAAGAACAAATTCGTTCAGGCAAACTTCGTTAAAGCTAGGGTGATCAAAATGCATTTCCTTTCATCGATATCGTTATGATACATTTTACCACGGCATTGCTCTATTTCCATGCAGCATCGGCACTCTTGAGGGTTGACAACAAGATCCAACGAACAATGGCCACATTCACACCTTTTATATTGGCCAAATTGTATGTTTCCATAAAGTTATCATAGATAATGGCAGACGATTCAGATCAAAGTAACACACTAAGAATGACATATTACCATGAAGTAACATCAACACGAGCATCAAAACGATCTTGCAGCATGTCTTCAACCCGCCGTTCTTCTGCAACTGAAGCTTCGTACTCAGCTATTTCATCGGGCGAAGCAAGCGGTTCAATATTATCGGCAAATGGCAAAATTTCCGAATTAGATTCGTCCGAATTTGCCGTCATAAATTCCGATGAAGAAATCGATGCGTTTGTCTCGATCGAAGACTCAGAGAGCGAGCTACATCTCGATGAATTTGACATTTTTTTGCTCTATTTATGTATTACTTTGTATACTTTCCAATGTGCGCTTCTTGCCGTGTTAAGACCATGACGTCACAGACCTTTGCTAATTGCAAATATTCAAAATGGCCGATTTTAATGGCGGACATGAAAATTAGACATTTCAAATGTTCATAACTCCCTCGTTATATTATTATTTTTGCTTACATTTTACGAAAGCAATAATTGATATGTGTTTAAACTATTGAATGCTAAAATCGATGATTTTTTAACGTTAAGTTTTCGTCATAGAACCACTTTAAATTACGTCACACTTGTCAGCAATCTAGTTTTATTTTATCTATGGTCGTCACAAACGTTGTTGCTGACCCGATTTGCGGCTGCACGAACAAAAACAACATGGCGTTAAAAATTAAGGAAATCGCAAACTTTGACTTACGATTTTTCCTTTACTAAAATTAATTAGACCGAAATATTCAGGAAATAATCTATTCAAGGTATGATCTTTCATTTAAGTATGCCTTTTTTTTACACTGGAGTTACGCTTTAACGTTGACCAAAGCCATAATCGTCAAAGATACCATGCAAAATGCTAATCCAAATTTATCTGTGTTGCATTTTGTGTACCTTTCATTTACAGGAACAGTGATAGTCAATGCACACGTTTTGACTATTGCCCGTCAATGCAATTATGATCAAACTTGAGAACGTCTTTAAAGTTAGGGTAACGTGAGCCTCTACCAAACTGCAATACATCAGTGAGTGATAGTGTTTTAATAGTCGATGAATCATCAACTGTAATTTCCTTGTTAGGGGTGATTCAAATCAGGGCATGCAAGCACATTTAATGACAATTTCCCATTCTATGCTTTTTTTTAAGAATTGTTGCCAGTAATAAACTACTTCAGTTTCTTTTGAATGGTTATCTGAGCCAACAGGTAAGAAATATGTTTTGAAACATTCTTTTATATCACTGACTTCTACATTGCAGAGAGCTAACTCTGCTTCCTTTTAACTTTTATGCAAAACACCGAACTAATTAAGGACTTTCCAGAAACTTAGAATTTCTTCAGCCACACTACTTATTACAATGTGCATTTCGCAAAATTTTATCAGGGGATCGCTATCATCAGGGTATCGCTATCACTTAAAGTTACTACAACGTTTGTGTAACCCATTTCAAAGCGGTCAACGAAAACAGTCAGATTAACAGAAACATTTTCTTCTCATTGGCATTTTTGCATCTCCACTAATTTATTATTTCTATTTTCCTAATAATCTCATTCATCTGGTATTTAATTCATAATAACCTCATTGGAAGCACCCAAAGTATAAGTTGCAAGTGAGAGACAGAAAAAATGCGGTCCTGGGCAACTATTTAATAAGGCAATTGCACCAAGTTTTCCTAAAATATCAAACTTTCTTTCCTGTAAACATGTAAATTATGACCAAAAGATGAGTAAGGAAAACTATCTAAAAAAAGTTACCATTATTTAAAATACCTTGAAAAAATTAGCAAAAAACTCCCGAGGAACTTCATCAGTATCAACACCTTCCCTTCCATAAACTTGACTATAACTCAAATGTTCTTTGAACCATGTGGTTTCTGTTAACTTCGATGCAACTATATTGGTAATCAGGGATAAATTCTAAAAAAGTCTTCATTGACTGAGATAAAGAGTTTGCCATAACACAACTTGTTTGAGTTGAAAAACTAGCTATCGTAAATGTTCATAAGGTTGAAGAGCTTGCTACCGTAGAAATAGCTGAAGTTAACATACCAACAAATGGTGAAGAAACACTTTGTGCCTGAAGCAATTTTTCTTTCCTTTTTTTCATTGAAAGAAGTGCTAAAGCATCATCATCTTTATCAGTCAGAATTTCAGGGAATTTCGGATGAATTTTCTTTACCTTATTTTCTCTACACAACACGTTATTTTCAGTTGACCAATCTGAAAACTTGTTGTCTTGAAACTCGTCAGGCAAACACAAATAAACTGTAAGTTTCTTCTTATCTTTTGTGATAGCCTCTTCGTATTTTAAGCACGAAAGTTTCTTGCTTGCCAACTGCCAGGTACAAAATAAACCTCGCTAAAATCAGGGTATAGAAGGACATATGGGCTGAATTGCTTTTTGCATTAAATCCTCCCGATCAATAATATGTAATACTTTTAAGACATGTGTTTTGTTTCTTCGTGCTTTAAAGACTCCATCATTGGCATAAGCCAGGCCAATTTTAACTTCAACTTCCATGAGCTGGGTATTAGTCTTAGATTGTTTATCTTTTGCCCCAGAAGCTTGCTTGTCATAGATTTGCCTCTTTTTTTCGAAGGCTGGTCTTCTTGCTTCTCTTATCTGATAAAATTTTTTAAAAGTCTTGGTAGTTTAAGATCAGAAACCTCATTTTGAAGACGAGCACCTACACTTCAGCCTTCACCAGCGTCGGAAGGACTCCGGGACTGCGTTTTTGAATGTAAGTTAACCGATGAATTTTGCAAACATTTTGAGTTTTTTTCTCTTATGGTTTTTCTCATCTTATCCTTAAATTTTTGTGGCATTTTCCAACAAATGAAACATCGATCCGAACATAAGTCCTCATAATTTTATTTACTTGACTTCCGTAGTTTCACCATAAAGTTATGGTTTCGCTTTTGTTTTCGTAATTTTTATATAAATGACTTTTATTTTTTCGCCCTAGTTTCCTGACCAAACAATCTTGAATGGTTGAAATTTTTTCGGAGACAGGGAAAAGTTTCTTCGTAATTTTCCTAATTTGCTCTCACGCACAGATAGATATTTTAGTTTATATTTTAAAACAAAAGAAATAAGCACCTTAACAAAATCGTTCGTTTTCACAACCAACAAACAACAAAAACACGTAATTAGTCTTATTACAAAAATAACATAAAGTTTCCCACAATTTGTTATGGCTGCTAGTGTATTAAAAAGTACGCTTAAATCCAAACACGGTGTATATCATGCACGTTCTCTGTCTGTTGTAGTTAAAAATATCTCATTTGCATTTTGTAAAATCACAATTTTCAATGTGAATGTGTTTTTTTATTTATCCAAATATTTATGAATATTTGCTCCATCTGAAGTAACTCATTATTGAAAACATATACTTAGCTATACATAGCTGTACAAGATCATTAACCATTGAAGATTTACTTAGATACAACTCGTATAATGGTAATGAAACACTTAGTTACTAGAGAAAAGCAGCATTATAATCATTGGAAAATATAAGTTAAGCATATAATATGGGCATATCTTATAATCTTTAAACAGGGCGATATCCTAGACTTACTCAACTTTTGCCTCTCCACTGAATTCTCCTTCCAAAACACATATTACAGACAAATTTCAGGCACACTAATGGGGTCACAACTATCCACATACTCGCAAAAGCCGTCATGCAACACCTCGAAAAACAATCAGTCACAAACAACACAAACATCAGACTATGGAAACGATGTGTCGATGACATCTTTGGCATAGTCAAAAAAGACAAAAACTGAACAAATCCTACATACCATAAACAATATCACAAAGAGCATAACATTGACTAAAGACGAGGAGCACGACAAACAACTTACTTTCCTCGACATCCTACTAACCACAACAGATGACGATACACACAAGTATCCCGCAAAACCACCCACACAGACCAAATACTGGATTTCAACAGCATTCACGCAACACGAAACAAATAAGCTTTATTCGAACACTTTTTAACAGGATAAACACTCATTGCAACACCGAAGAAGCCAAGAAAACAGAACGCAACTACTTATACTCCACATTTATTAAAAACAATTACCCTAGAAGCTTCTTAAACAAAACTATAAACAAAATACCAAACAAAACGCAAACCGACAAAAGCAACAAGAAACCGAACGAAACAGTAAAAATCGTCACATTACCATACTTAAACGGAACATTGGAAATGACTGCCAGACTTCTCTGACCATTTAATATTAACGTCGCCCACAAGCCTACACAAAAACTCAAATCATGATACAACTGACGCGATTTACATGATACCATGTAAAGACTGCTCAAAGCAATACATAGGACAAACATCTAAGAAAATTGAAACAAGACTCACAGAACACAAAAACGCCACAAAACGACGAGATCCGAACTCACTACTGGCAGAACATACCCACGGAAACAACCACACATTCGACTGGACAGAAAGTAAAGTAGTCGGACGCGCACAGACTAAACACGCGTGCAAATTTATAGAAGCTTGTTACAGTAAAGACAACGACACAATAAACAGACATATCGACATACCCATCATATACTCACAACTAAAGAAACGGGACAAAAAAACTACAAACAACATTAAAACCGCAACATTACACTCTAATAATAGTAACACCGATCATATTTGCAATATACCAAAACACATGTCAACTCATTTTACCCCATCCAATCACATTAATCCACCCGCTAGTCCAATTAGACGCTCTAAGCGTCTACAAGCTAAAAGCAACTATAAATAGACAACTTCCTCATTCTGATGAAGGCTCAAAGCAACGAGTCGAAAGCTTAATAAAAATCATTTTATACAATCCGGAGAATCTTTTATTTTTCTACATAGTTGGATATGTATAACAAACACAATTAATAAAGTAAATGGTTTGAACCCGGGAGTATCGTTACATGTTTGTAAACATAGATCGTCCAGGTTGGTATAGTCCTGAGCAGGACTATTTTTGTTGTTGTTGACTGACGTTTCTACAACCTTAGCGGTAGTCATCTTCAGAGTCAAAAAAACAAACAAACAAAAGTCAGTCAACAACAACAAAAACAGCCATGAAACATTACAAACATGAAACACAAGTAATGAATTTCCTAAACGCCAGTGACGTATTTTTCTGTTAAAGCAGAGAACTTTGACGCCAAGAGTACATTTAATTGCGCCCGTACATAGGAATTAAGTTGTAACAAAAATCTAGCTTCAACTTGTTTCAACTTGTTTACCAAAGGCATCATATGTCTATATAATGTATCATATTGCTTAACACTCAGCATTATGCACTGAAGATGGCATTCTGATAATGTCGAAACATGTTTGGGCTCAAAAAATTGTTGTTTTTCCAAATGTTTTTTAAACTGGCTGCCAAATGGAAATTAAAATAAATTCAAAGAACTCTTCCTAGATCTATTGGTACAAGAAGTGTTACCATAGTCTGAAGGTATCTCTATTCAGTGGCGTAGCTATAGGGGAGGCAGGGGGGCGAGTGCCCCCTCGCTCAACATTATTGATGGTGTTTGTAGGAAAATTGG